TTATAAATTTTGAGTTTTTTAAACAGGTTACAGGTATTGAATATGACAGGATAAAATCAACATGAGATTTATTTATTTATTTATTAAAAAATATATATTAAAAAAACCTATCACGGCCTACATAATAAGCCGTAATTGCTAATCAATAGTTTCATTTATGACAAACACTGCATGTTGTAATTGCTTCTATTGAATTACGGCTCACTATGCAAGCCGTCTAAAGTAATTATAACAACGTTATATGCATGCCTTAATAAGGTTTACAGTGTGTTTTTAGTGAGATTATTTACGATTGGAAAAACATGTCGTAATTGAGGAACATCATTTATGACTAGGGTTTTTACTGCTTGCAGCCTTGCGTCGTGAATGACACTTTACGGCATACTTTGTGCGCCGTAACTGATATGTTCTGGTGTAGTGACGTCTAAGGGGTGGATGTGGAGGAGATGTGGGAAAAGGCAAAGTATTGGGCAACTCTAAACCCCACTGCAAGCTGGCAAGAATTTCTCTAGGCACCCATGGCCATTTTTCTCTCTGTAAAAAAAAAAACATTCTTCTGCACGAGATACAAAAGAGGAAAAACGAAGAAAACCACCGGATCTGCTCCGTCGCTAACGGCGACCACTGAGCCACCACTCACAAGGCAGTCTCCCACCATGGACACCGGTCTTTGACCTCCAAGCCCGACGGGCTTGATTCACTTGGGCCTGATTACTCATCATGATCCCTGTTTTATTTTTTTGGGCCTCCTGATGGTTAAAAGAAAATAAGTTGTAAAATCCTTTGCTTGATAGGATTTGCGCAAAGTGTTGATTTTCAAATCGTTTTAAACCTTTGATTTATTTTAATGTTAATAAATAAATAAAATTTTTGTCTTGATAAAAGTATTTTATTCATCTTGAACTGATCCTAGAGGCAGTTTGAGTCGAAATAGGAGTTAAAACTCTTAAATTCATTTCATTTTATTCAAACCAATACAGATCCAACAGGTAGTTTGAAATCCAAATAGGAGTTTAAACCCTTATTATATCTTAGTACTTATTGGACTAGGATTAATTTGCCTCCCTAAAACCCCTATAAATACATAAATCACAATCCACATTTTTTTTCAAGAACTTGAGATTAGAAAAAGAAAACATCTGATCGAGATAGAAATTCACAAACTCCAACCATGGCGAAAGACGAGCAGCTTCAAGTCCTAAGCATGCTGGACGCAGCCAAAACCCAATTCTACCACTTCACTGCTGTTGTGATCTCCGGCATGGGCTTCTTCACCGATTCCTATGACCTTTTTTGCATCTCCCTCGTCACCAAACTCCTCGGTCGCATTTATTACCACGTCGAGGGCTCAGCAAAGCCGGGCAGCCTACCACCAAACGTAGCAGCCGCAGTCAATGGAGTTGCCCTATGTGGAACCCTAGCCGGCCAGCTCTTCTTCGGTTGGCTCGGGGACAAGCTCGGGCGTAAAGGAGCTTATGGAATAACCCTAATGCTCATGGTGGGTTGTTCTATTGGATCCGGTCTCTCTTTTGGTAGCTCCCCAACTTCTGTCATTGCCACTCTTTGCTTTTTCCGGTTTTGGCTAGGGTTTGGCATTGGTGGCGACTACCCACTTTCGGCGACAATTATGTCTGAGTATGCCAATAAAAAGACTCGCGGGGCGTTTATAGCGGCCGTTTTTGCCATGCAAGGGTTTGGGATTTTGGCTGGCGGGATGGTGGCTATTGTTGTTTCTTCTATCTTCCGTGCCGTATACCATGCTGATCCCTACTCAGTGGACCCAATTGGGTCTACTGTGCCCCAGGCAGACTATGTATGGAGGATTATTCTCATGTTTGGAGCTGTCCCGGCGGCATTAACTTTCTATTCGAGAATGAAAATGCCAGAGACCCCTCGTTACACTGCCTTGGTAGCCAAGGATCAAAACAAGGCTTGCCAAGACATGGCTAAAGTGTTGAATGTGGAGATGAAAGAGCAACAACAAGTAGCGCATGCGCAGCCACAAAACCACAGGCCCTCAAAGTTTGCTCTATTTTCCAAAAAGTTTCTTAGGAGACATGGGTTACATTTATTGGGCACGGCCTCCACATGGTTCTTGCTAGACATTGCTTACTATAGCCAAAACCTTTTCCAAAAGGACATCTTCAGCGCTGTGGGATGGTTGCCATCAGCAAGCTCTATGAGTGCCCTAGATGAGCTTTACAAAATTGCTAGGGCACAAACACTAATAGCCCTATGTGGCACGGTTCCTGGGTACTGGGTCACGGTCTTCCTCATCGATCGCATTGGCCGATTTGCAATTCAGCTAATTGGGTTTTTCTTCATGACTGCTTTCATGTTTCTCTTGGCAATTCCATACCACCACTGGACTAGACCTGAAAACAACATCGGATTTATTGTCATATACGGTCTAACATTTTTCTTTGCCAATTTTGGACCCAATAGCACAACATTTGTTGTACCGGCAGAGATTTTCCCAGCAAGGTTCCGGTCCACATGTCATGGGATTTCAGCGGCTGCGGGGAAGGCCGGGGCGATTATTGGGGCTTTCGGGTTCTTGTATGCATCACAAAATCAAGACAAGTCTAAGACTGATGCTGGGTACCCGCCTGGGATTGGAATGAGGAATTCTCTCATTGTGCTTGGTGTGATCAGCATTTTGGGGTTCTTCTTTACGTTTTTGGTGCCGGAGTCGAAGGGAAAATCGCTGGAGGAGATGTCAAGAGAGAATGAAGATGAAGGTGATGATCAAGTGGAGCCCAACAGAGTTGAGGTTACTGTTTAATTAGGAATTAATGTCTGTATACAAGGATTTGTGTTCGACCTTTGTTTTTTCCCCCCTTAGTTTTGCTCTCAGTAATAATTTTTTCTTTGTAATCATGTTGTTGTGAATGTTATGTCATTTTGATTTTCGAACTTCCTGAACCAAAACGATCCATTACTTGCAATAGTTACAATTGAATAGTAAACAATCAGTTTCAAAACTCTAGATGATGCAGTGCGGTTTATAGAGGAACCCAATCCTATAATGGAGACCTATATTTCTTGTGGAACAAGTAACTTTTTCTTATGCTAGCTCGGACCATTCTAGTTAGAAAATGATACTAGAAAGTAAAGCTAGTTAGAAAATGCTAAATTTGTCAGATTGGATGCAGAAAATCTGATTATATAGGTGAATCTCCTTTTGATTTAGAGCATTCCTTCCACTTTCACTTATAATTTTTAATTTCTTTAATTTATCTTTTTCAATCAAGTTGTCACTTTTTCCTTTATAAATGGATGATTAAAGATTCTAACTTGAGATATCACGACATTGAAAAATAAATATCACTAAATTAATTAGTTCATAAATAACACTAGTTCTGGAGTCGTAGACGACGATCTTCGAAGGGGCGATCTTAGATGGGATGAGTCGAAAACTTTGGTTTTTCATCTATAATAATTTGGTGTTAGGTGTAACACTTAATATTATTTTTTAATATAATTGAAATAGTATTTTGGTGCAGTAAACGTAAAATATAATGATCATATATCGACTCTTAAACCATTTTTTTTCTTAACACCAAACTAGATCCAAGTGTAGGTAGGCACAACTTCGTTGAACCGCAGAATCCAGAGGAGGATGAGACTGATGCTGGTGCTATACCTTTATGTAAAGTAATTTATGCTTTTTGAACTACCTATTAAATAAAGTACTTCAAAGATACTACCTATTAAATAATTGATGCTGGTGCATTACTTACCAAACCGAATTGTTTATGATTTATTTGCACCTAAGACCCGCTCATTATTAGGCCAACCTAATTCAAACCAACCCTCTAATGATCCAATTGGGCGGTTCGGCCAGGTTGACCCGAAATTGTGGCCACCCCCTAATTTTGACAGTGAGAATATTAGGCCCCGTTCGTTTACGTTTTAGAGGCTTATTTTCATTTTCAAAAAACAAAAACAAAGCAAAAACGTGTTCGGTAGGCAAAAACAGAAAACATTGAAAATGTTTTCATAAAATGAAACCAACTTCACGTTTACTTCTGCAAAACAAAAAAAAGTTGTTTTTGTTCTCCCAGAAAACAAACGCTCAAAACACTCTCTCGTTCAATCTTCTCTCCCAATCAGACCAAAAAACAAAATTCTTCTCTCCTCACTCACCCTTCTCTTCTCTCCCCCTTTCTTGACCACTCTTCTCTCTGGCTTGGCTCACTCCTCTCTACCAATAGGAACAACACCCATCTTCTCTGACCCAAAATAACACAAATCTGCAAACTAAGAAAAAAAATACAGAGGAAGAAAGAAAAGAAAAGAAAAACAGAGACAAGAAGAAGAACCACCATATACCCAGCTCAACCACCATCATCACCCAATCAAACCACCACAACCATTAATTAGTGGAACCTAGAGAGAGAGAGAGAGAGAGAGAGAGAGAGAGAGAGAGAGAGAGATGGGTGGGTGTATGAGATTCATGCCATGGAAGGAAGGAGGAGTGGGTGCGGCCTGGGAAGGAAAGGAAGAAGAAAAGAGGAAGAAAATGAGAAAAAAGAAATGGCCTTGGGAAGGAAAGGAAGAAGAAATGAGGAAGAAAGAAGAAAAGATGAAGAAAAAGAGAAACAGTCGTGCGAAGGAAAAGAAGAAGAAAAGAGGAGGAAAGAGAGAAAAGGAGAAAAAGAAGAAAAAAAGAAAAGAAAAAAGAAAGGAGATAAAATAGTTTTTTAGCTTTAATTTTTTTCATTGTTTATAATAATAATTTTAGCCTCTAAAAATATCAGAATTATAAAAAATACACCTGAAAAACAATTGTACTACCAGACACGTTTTCATTGTTTTTGTTTTCTGAAGATGTTTTCTAATTAATTTACCAGACGCATTTTCATTTCCTGAAAATACAAATTTGTTTTCTTGTTTTCATTCTCTGAAAATATTCTCTGAAAACACTCTCCGAAAACGTTACCAGACGGGCCCTTATACACGAAGTTTTCTGCTATAAAATTTACTATGCGAGTGTAATTATGTACACAATCTCCAAGTGAAACTTCAGAAGTTAATTAGAAAAATGAAAAAGTCATCCACAATTTACAGAAAATCAATCTGCTTTATTCCAATAAATCACTCTATGCCTTCCTTAAAGGGGCCAGAATCATGTAATAGTTTCATAACAAGCTCAACCTGCATGGAAGAAGTACTTAATGATGTTAAAGAAAATTGGCAAGACTGAACCTGATCCCCATTCATTCGGTCAAAGTCTCAGAGATAGATTTGACCCCAAAAAAAAAAACAAAGATACCAAGACATAATTAAATTTTTACCCTCCTGAACTATTACTCAGTGTCAATTTGTCCCTTGAACTGTGTTTTGGTAAATTAAGTTAAGGACTCGACTCTATAAAAATGGCCAATTAGGCCTTTATCGTCAGTTTCATCGAATTTCATCCATTTTGCCATCAATGATAAGGGAAAATTCATAATTTTAAGTAGAACAAAAGCAAACCCCATTAAAATACTAAAATATGTTGAAATTTAAAAAATGGAAAAACTTCTATCTCTCAATAAAGACTGAGGGGAATAATGATTCAGCTTGTCGAGGTAATGGCCAATGAGCTCAGCATGATTCAGTTGCTGCTAATCTGGATGTGTGGAGGGGGGAAATCTGGGTGTGGTTGTAGCCGCGGGGGAAGGGTGGCCGCTGGAATAGAAAGTGATCGGTGCATGGGTGGGTGGCCTGAAAAATACAGGTTTTTGGGTGGGGGGCTGTTTACAGAGAGCCAGAGAGAGTGATATAGGTTGAATGATCAGATTTCCCTCAAAAGTGAGTCACAATCCCACCACGTTACTCTATTTGACAGAAATTTAGACGAAATTGATTTGTAGGTGCTACATTGACTAACTTTATATAGTTCGATTGCTTAACTTACCAAATAGTCTGGGGGGTCAACTGACACTGTCGTGATAGTTCAGGGGGTACATTACTAGAGTGATTCTCAAGCACAAATAAATTGGGGTAATGAATAACCCCACTGAAAATGGATTATAATTCAGGATTCCACCTAAACACAAATACTGAAATAAAAATGCAATCACCTGGGTTGATTCACGCACTAGAAAGCCCTCTATGGCCTTCCTGAAACCTTCATCCATCAGGTAATGGCAGCTATAAGTTCTCACAGGCATATAACCTCTCTGAATCTTATGTTCACCCTGAGCTCCAGCCTCTACAGTGTTTAGATTAAGTTCGATTGCAGCTTCTATTGCCTGTGATGTCATACAAACCATAAAAAATAAATAAAAGATTATTGTGCATATCTTCTTAGCAATGCTATATACATGCTTGTCTACTTTTTGGTAACATCAATAAAAACTCTCATGACAACCTCTAAATTTCAGATGTGGTTTCAAGAATGAAAAAGACTCTGAGGCATTGAAAATTGAAAATGGTCCATGATTACCTTAAAAATATTGTGCATAAAATATGACAGCATTTTACATTGCTTCCAGTAATGAAGATGATTAGGGCAGTAAGGAGCATTTTTCTGCTAAATATATTAGAGTAGAAAGCCTAAATGATCTTGTGCTACTTTACTAATAAAATGAAAACAAAACAACAAGACCTGGTAATAGCATGCTTCAAAATGCAAACTTGGATAGTAAGCTCGTGGATGACATCCCCATAGGCGTCCAAATAACGTATCTCCTCCTATAATATTCAGAGCTCCAGCAACAAGCTCATCCCCTTCTTCAGCAACAACAAGTAATACCTGATCTCCCATCTTTGACCCCATGTTGTGAAAGAAATCCCTAGTCAGATATGGAGTACCCCACCTGTGGATCCGACAAGAAATTTCAAACTTCATGAGGGAAAAAAAAGGACTCAAGCAACTCATCTGTTTAACAAGTTTCCAAAACAATGTAAAACTGATTTGTGGAAATTATCGCTAAATGTGAAACATCATTAAATGACTAAGAAAGGGATCGACAGGGAACCAACTTGTTATCAGTGGTGTTCCGGTAGAAGTTATAGAAGGAATCCCAGTGTCTAGCCTGCCAACATGACATCATTAAGGAAGTGGTCAGACCTATTGTTCCCACTGTTCTCTATTACATAAAAATTTCAAATAGACCATCTACGAAAGTATTCATTATATGCAAAACAGTGCAACATGCCACTGAAATACGATTGCATATAAGTGGAAAAACATCTCCGATAGTCACAGTTACCAATGACAAGAACAAATACCTTTATTTCATCACCCCGCAACCGTTTCATAGTCAAATTCTGCTGTACAATCTGCATATCAAGAGTTCAATTAGACAACCTGTACCTCATGTCACTAACACAAATAACCGCACTGATTTCATTTACTCGAAAAAAACAATCCACAGATTCCATGAGTATTCCTGTTAAAACTTTACAGTTTTGTTTCCACTAAATTACTAACACAAGTTTAGTCTCGCAAACGGGAACATGGTTGCCCTCAACTTTGCACATATCAATGAATTCATGCATAGCATACAAACTCACTCACATCTGAGGGAACTTAAAGTGAACCCATCAGAAGAAAAAATAATCACAAAATAAGCAAGAGGAAAATAATGAAGCATTCATCGATCACATAAAGAGAAACAGGTGTTCTACAAGTATTTTTCGTCAAATGGATTTATACTGCGTCGACTAGCTCAAAGATTAAACTAATCAAGAAAGGCTTTACGTTATAAACAGAACACCAAGGAATATGTTCTTCAAGGTATTCCTATATATGTGTACTAATTTTCCACAGTTTGAGTTTCACCATACATTACAAGAGGGTCCAAATTTATTGGATCAAAAGAAGTTTTTAAGTGTACTCAATTTGTGGTCTTGCTCCCATGAGTTTATCAATGTTTCTTCCATTCATTCATTCATTGCTTTTACTTTTTATTCATTCATTTGCTTCTTTTACATGGCGTCTTTTCTCTTATCTCAAATGCTGGTAGCCTTAGAACTCTGAGCAGTGATCCACAAGTTTTTAGCACTATCTTAATTGATTTTGTGATTTTCAGATATTTCTATTATGTTCGTGCACATTTTTTTGGTTCCAAGCCGGACCCCATGCGTGCTATTAAAATAATTCTTGCCATGAAACATTCTAACAGAAAAGCCATTTTCTAGTAGAAGAACTCACCTAAGACCCTTTAGTTTCTCAGTTTTCTAAATACATTAAATATCAAATGGAACACATGAAATCATGTTTTAAAAGCCAACCTTTTTGCGCTCTTGACGAATATTTTTCCTTTTACTTTGCTTCATGTCCATCAAGAACTCATCAAAACTGTATCACAAATAAAGTAAGGCATTTTCTAGATTCAACTATTCAACTTTTCAATCAAAAAACACGTTAAGCCGTAATAATGGTTTATCTGTAACTGTATATGTCTAAAATTGTTAAGAAACAATTATGGACCTCTTTACTGGTTAAACATTTTCTGGAAAGTAGCTTTTCTTATCCTTTAAGGATCAACAATGAGTTGCTCCCATATGAACAATTTATATGCACAAACATATACATATGCATGTATATATGAGAAGTATTTAGATGCATAATATTAAGTGATTTAATATTACACATACAATCTTCGTCATTTGACGAAAATCCAAAGGTTTATAAAGCTTAGAACAAGTAAATGATATGTTTCCTATTAACTGTTCAGTTTTCAACCAACGGCTTAGAAGCGGTATGTGTCTTGATAAAAGCTCAATGTTAGGTTCCAACACTCCTATATGTCTCATCAAAAGTTATTGGCTCGGCACGGGGAGGTTAAATTGTCAATCATTGTTCATATAAGCCACCTACTTTTGCACTGAGTATTTCAAATTGTAGCATCCATGATGAGGACAAGCATAACTCATTATAGTTGAGATGCTATGACTAAATGGCTACAGGCCAACATCACTACAAGCCTTACAACAGAACAACCAAACTAACATGCATAATCCCAAAAAAATACAAAAAAGATAATAGCTTCTGTCTTTTTTGCAGAAACATATTTCTTTTGGCAATCTGTATTAGCATAGTGCTTTACTATTGCATATACATTATGAATTGCCAATCACAAAAATTTCTTCAGGGAATGTGACTGAAACTCTGCATTGAAATTAATGAGTGAACATGTTCCCGTGATTAATAAATAGGTGTGCATTACTCACCTTTTATAGTTACGATTTTTCCAATGGTACTGCATTCCAATTCTCTGAAGAAAACCTTTTCCACTCAGTTTGTTCCATTCATTTTCAGATGGGAAGGTAATGTGCAGTGATGAAAGCCGGTACTGTCAAGATACAAAAGTCACAATAAACAATTAGGGCTGCAATGCAGAAAGAGAAGAATTCGAACTTTTTTGAAACAGAAAACAGGTTAGAATAGAGCGCAATGAATCAATGTTCTCTTTATTTGATCAACATACTGATCATTAAAACAGTAGTTTCTTATCCAGTAAGAAAAACCAGTAAGTTCTTTCCGCTAACTGCTTGGAAAATTGTAATGACATAAAACATACAAAAGTGCAATTGCATTCTAAGAATTCAGCCTACTCGAATATCAAATTATCTCCCTTCAAGAAACTTTTTCTGCCAATTTTAAGGATTCATCATTTTTATGCCTCTTTAATTTTGACACCTGAAGATTATAGATCCTGGTTCAACCATGAATTTCCCTTAACCCCAGCTTTATACTATAATATGAAAACATCAGAAGAAAAGGCCGAACAAAAAATTCTTCAAAATTTTACAAATAGTCATTTTTTAAATGATTTTATACAATTATATATCTTAGCTCTATTTTTCTATGAAGATATTAATTCACTAATCACATGCACAACTCCTAGTCCTAACTTCTAAGACAAGCATAGGTGATTTCTTGATCCCTTCTTTCTTTCATAAGGAGTCAATTTTCTACCTACAAATTGACAAAGTAATCATGATAAATTAAAAGGCTCATTAAATGCTAAAAAAATTGATTACTTGAATACCTTGGCAGTCAGATCCTTCAGAGCTGAGACTAAAGCGTCAAAAACTTGATCTCTGAATGAAGTATCACGAATTAAAATCCTGGGACCAGTTACTGGAGTAAAAGGTACACAGCACTGCAACTTTGGGTAATATCTTGACCCAAAACTATAATATGCGTCAGCCCAAGAATGATCAAAAACAAATTCACCGTAGGAATGACTGCACACCAAATCAAAGAGGTCAGACAGCAGCAAAGAAAGCAGCAGAAGCCAAATGACATGAGAGCTTGCATCCGGAGAGCACAGAAGATGCTAAACCTTTTAAGATAGAGTGGAACAACACCTAAAATACTTTCACTTTCATCCTTAGCAATGATATGGCGTGGAATCCACCCTGTTTCCTGGAAAGGATTTAAATGAATAAAACAAACCGACGTTGGAAGTCCAGGCTGACTAACAATAATCAAATGGCTAAAACTGACAGATGCTAGAAATTGCGATTGATTAGGTACTAGACAATCTTAACAAAAATGGTATTGCCTTACAATATAAACAAGAAAGGAAGAGTTAAATTCAGCAAAGATTCCTGACCTTCACCGCAGAAGCTGACTCTTCCAAGCTTGAAAGAAAAGCATAAGTAAGAAATGGGTTATATTTTTCAGGGCCTGTAGCATCCAGAGCGCATGCATCCCACTCGGCGGATGAGACCTCAGAGATTGAAGAAACGACTGAAAGTGATATCTTTTCAGGTTTCACTCCTGAAATTCCCTGGAAACAGAACCAGCATAGTATAATATAATAATATGATATAATTTCACAGTTCAAGTTAAACGACCATAATAATTGAAGGGAGGAATAGTACAGAGTAATAAAAATACCTCTTTCAGTGTGCCTGAACCTGTCAAAGTGAATTCCCCAAGTGAAACATTTATCTCAATTTCTTTTGGCTCTGCAGACTTCTTGGCTCCCCAAAACAGGGCACTAATTCTAGGTGCCTGAACAACTTTCCCAGATTGAGATTTTCCCTGCAATTTTTTTTTAAACGCCAACAATTGTGTGCCCAAATAACATAAGCTTAAAGCTCAATCAATCCATCAATGAATACTTCAATAACAAAGTCAAAGACTGAAGCAAATAACAAAAACCCAGAAATTATCACCTCACATTGATTTAGAACATTAATCCAATCAAATTATGAATGCTTGCCCAAAAAAAAAAATTCGAAACAGTGAGAGATAATAGCTCCCTAGACGGCACTTACCAAATGAAAATGAGTTGGATAGTTTCCCAGAAACGGGGAAGGCTTGCAGTAGCTCATTGCTACTGCCATGCCCGTCAACACTTCGCTCTTTCTGTGTCTCAAGTTCTGATAAACCGAGGAGAAGAAACCATCTAGTTGCATGCCACGTTGCAAAATTTGATATTTAGCAAATTTAAACTTCAGTATTGAAGAAAAATGGAAAAATATATATATTATATATTTATTTATTTATTTGCACCACTGGAAAAATGTTAGCCACCGTAAACAATTCAGTTAAGTAGTCAAAATTCTCCCCCACCCTTTTAAAATTAGAGATATTTAGTCATGTACCCATTCTTAACACTAAAACTATAAATAAACTCTACACCATTTAATATCTATAAATAAACCAAAAAAAAAAACCCAACAAATGATGGCTGGCCCTATTGAATTTAATTTTGATTATTAAATTACTTTGATGCCTATTTAGTGTTTTGGGTTTTTTTATGAGGTTTTGGGATTGGGTTTGATTTTAAAAATCAATGGCAATTTTGTAATTTAAAAGCCTTTTTGTTATGTCGTAAATGAGCTTTGAGTGTGTTTCTAAAGTCCATTTCATAATGGCTATTAACTAATTGTAATACTCATTAATACAATTACGGTTTTTTTTATATATAATTTGGGTTCTTATTTTGGGTATAATAGTAAATTTCCCTTAAAATTATCACATCCTTGAAAAGAGTGTACAAATGCCTAATGGCTATTAACTAATTGTAATACTCATTAATACAATTACGGGTGCAAGTTGAATTAGAAAATTTGGTTAGAAAATTTTCAAAAAAATCCGACCCCAACAAATCCAAAAACATCAAAATCTAAAATTTCCAAAAAAATTGAAATTGGAATTGGAATGCATATGAAAATTCGGAAATTCTGATCCAAAATGTTCCAAATCCATTTCGATCCAATAATTCCAAAATTTTTAAAATTTTAAAATTTTAAAACAAACAATATATTGAAATTGATGTTCAGCACATTTAGTAAATTGCACAAATTATTAAATTGGGTGTGTGGTTCAATCACAAATCAATCAAATGCATAAGTTTTAGGGTTCTAGATTATATCTATATGACATCTCTTAAAATACATTCAAATAATATTTTGAAAAGGAAAAAAAAAATCTAATGCAATCAATGTTAATCTTATCTAAGTTATATAGTAAATTTGCTTAGATTTTTCTAATTATGGATCAGTTTTCTGAATAGGGCAACGTCTAATATTTAACGCAAATGCAATTGCATAAGGGTCATGCAATTACGACCTCCCTATTTGGTAATTGGCATATAATTTGATATGTTATTTTTCAATTAAGTTTATTCTATTTGATTCGCGATGGCATGCTTATAAATTTCGCAATGGCAATTGTTTACTTTTATAAATGTAAAGTTACCGTTTTAGACTCTTTTTTTCTGATTTCTATCCTTCACCTCATTGTAGCTTTACTCAATTTCATTCTGAGTTGGTTATGGTGGCTAGTTGTGTGGTAAATTCCTCTGTATTTTATGCTTATTTTCTTAAAAATGAATTGAGGGTGATAGTTTTAATTTTTATTTCTTGTGTTTCATAGAATTGGGGAATGCACATCAATATTTATTTGAGAGCTTGGAAGTCTTTATCCATCAAATTTCTTCATCTCGAATTTTGTTGAACTCTATGTTACATAGTTGTATTTTCGTAGACATTCTAGAAGTATTATAAATCTAGGGTTAATTACAGTTTAGTACCCTGTTGTTACACCCTTAAGACATGTTAGTACCTATCTTTTCAATTTTAACAATCACATACCCCTGTCTTTTAAATTTGTTACAATGTGGTTCCACTATTAGGGTTTCCTTCAAATCTCTCTGTTAGTTGCCTATGTGTCACTGTGGGTCCCACATTTTTCACATTTTTTAATTTTAAATTGATTAAAATATGAATAAAATATTTTTAAAAAAATTCTCTCTCTCTCTCTCTCTCTCTCTCTCTCTCTCTCTGCGTTCTCCCGATCAAGCTCCAACACCAACCTTCAAACCCATACCACAACTACCCTCCACTACAGCGCAACCACCCAACGCCCCCGTCCCCCATGACCACTACCTTCCAAACCGCCTTCCAACCCCCCACCCAACAACCACCCCCCCTCCCCTTGATTTCCCTTTGTTGTTGAGAGACCACCCCAGCCTGCAACGAACCCAAAACCCAGCTCGCTAACCATTCTCTCTCTATCCTACAGACCTCGTTGCCGTCGTCAATCTGCGCTTTTCGGCAAGATCTGCCGGTCTTCATCTCTCTGCTCTCTACCCCGTTCTCTTTCTCTACAAACTCAAAAACCAACAAATTGGAAAAAATAAAATAAAAATTTGAACATTGTTTGCATCTGTGTGTGAGTTTGAGGGTTTGTGTAACATCCCACATCGACCAACGGAGAGGGAGTGATGTGCCTTATATGTACATGTCCGCCTTCATCTAGCATGAGGCCTTTTGGGAGCTCACTGGCTTCGGAGTCATGAGAACTCCGAAGTTAAGCGAGTTGGGACTAAAGCAATCTCAAGATGGGTGACCCACTGGGAAGTTGCTCGTGAGTTCCTAGAAACAAAACCGTGAGGATAGAGAGGGGGGCCCAAAGCGGATAATATCGTGCTACAGCGGAGCCGATCCCGAGATGTGACAATTTGGTATCAAATCCACTCTGCCGTGTGGTGCAAGTGTGCCGACGAGGACGTCGGGCCCCTAAGGGAGGTGGATTGTAACATCCCACATCGACCAACGGAGAGGGAGTGATGTGCCTTATATGTACATGCCCGCCTCCATCTAGCACGAGGGCTTTTGGGAGCTCATTGGCTTCGGAGTCATGGGAACTCCGAAGTTAAGTGAGTTGGGGCTAGAGTAATCCTAGGATGGATGACCCATAGGGAAGTTGCTGTGAGTTCCCAGAAACAAAACCGTGAGGGCAGAGAGGGGGCCTAAATCGGACAATATCGTGCTACGGCGATGAAGAGGGAGTGATGTGCCTTATATGTACATATCCGCCTCCATCTAGCACGAGGCCTTTTGGGAGCTCACTGGCTTCGGAGTTATGGGAACTCCGAAGTTAAGCGAGTTGAGGCTAGAGCAATCCCAGAATGGGTGACCCACTGGGAAGTTGCTCGTGAGTTCCCAAAAACAAAACCATGAGGGCAGAGAGGGGATCCCAAAGCGGATAATATTGTGCTACGGCGGAACCGATCTCGGGATATGACAGTTTGTGGGTGAAAAACATAATGAGGGAGGAGGGAGGAGGGCTCTGGAGGGTGGTCTCTCAACAACAAAGGGAAATCCCGAGGGGAATGGGGGGTTGGTTGCTGGGTTAGGGTTCTAGGTTCGTTGGGGGTTGGAGGGCGGTGGTCATGGGGAAAGGGGCTGTGTAGTTGCGCTACGGTGGAGGGTGAGAGAAATTGGCTAAATGCTCTCATCGCTCTGGCAAAAAATTGATCACGACACCCACCCTGTTCTAGTCTCCCCAGCCAAACACCCCGATCTACCCTATCCCAACCCACCGTCTTTTCCACGACCCAGCACACTCCGGCAACCAACCTCTATAGCCCTAACCACCCTCACCGATCCAAATCGACCAAGCACTACCCATCAACAACCCAAAAAAATAATCACATTGATCAAACATACCCAAATCTGATCAAGCAACAAGACATTGAAGCGATCATGCAGATGTAGGCAGAGGTTGTTTTTCCAATCGGAGGCTCATCCAAATATATGGCAAAGACGAGAGAGAGGTTTGCTGGGGATGAGGGTGAGGGAGATTGGTGTTTGGGGTTGTTGACAAACAGTGGGGAATAGAGAGGCTTGATCAGGAGAACGCACAGAGAGAGAGAGAGAGAGAGAGAGAGAGAGAGAGAGGATTTTTTATTTTTATTTTTGGTTTTTTTGTTTTTAATATTTTATTCATATTTTAATCAATTTAAAATTAAAAATGTGAAAAATATGGGACCCACAGTGCCACATAAGCAACTAACAGAGAGATCTGACGGAAACCGTAACGGCGGAACCACATTGTAACAAATTTAAAAGACCGGGTTATGTGATTGTTAAAATTGAAAAGATAGGGACTAACATGTCTTAAGGGTGTAACCATAGGGTACTAAATTGTAATTAACCCATAAATCTATGTTATTTTCCTAACATGGGCATGGATTTTATAGTGCATTGTTAGGATTAAAAGTCAAGAAACAAAAGTAGAAAGTTTACAAGATTTCTCATAAATTACAAGATTTCCAATTGTGTTTACAAGGATAATGACACAATTTTACTCCTCCAATGTCCGTTCTTAGCTTAGTATTGTACTATGGGTCATTTTCTTTGTAAATTAGGGCATTACAATGTTATAGATTAGGATGTACCTTAGCATTGTGATTGAGGTGCAAAGTCTCGTAAATGCAAACTCAAATATTGTAGCTTACGAAGTTAAGGATAAGGTTTACAAGAGTATGGAGGCCTATGTCCATAGTAGTGTAAATGTGGTCCTTAATGTGGTAGCCCAAGGACCACTTGTACTCTTCCAAGGTCCACGCTCACCTTATCATTGTACTAGGGGTCCATTTCTTCGTAAATTAGGGTATTGCAATATTAAAGATTAGGGTGAACCTTAACATTGTAATGAAGGTGCACATTCTCGACGGCAATGCAATCGATAAATAGGCTATATGTAATTGCCATTCCACTTTGTAAATACCTACCGACAGATTGGAAATTGCCAAACGACCTCTGAGTGTTCCATAACATTGTAACGTTTATCCCTAATCTTGTATTCAAAAAACCAATCATGCTATACAAACTCAATACTGTAACTATCTAGAAACGTTTGCCCAATCTTTGTCAAACCATACCTCACCATCCAATCCTCCATGTTGAACCACATAGAACCTCAAGAGATACTGGATTTGATAGATCATCTCAATATTTCATCATAAATTTGAAAGAAGTTGAGGTTCCACCCCAAAACCAATTGGCAATAGGGGGAGTAGCCCAACACCTTATAAGCCATTGCTATGTTTCTCAACCTTTTAATGTGGGACATTTTTACCTTCACATTCTTATACGCCCCCACACGTATGGCAAATTTTCAAGCCTAACACGTGGACAACATATATTGGGGTTACGTGGAGCACGTGTGGTTGTTGGGCTCTCACGTGTGGGCAACCTACTATGATACCATGAAGAATTTTAAAGAGATGGGTCAGCGGCCCACTACTAGAAACATCGGTGTTGTCCCTAACTTAACCACCTACAAAGCCCAGTTAGTATGAGGTTTTATCAAAAAAGGCCTCGATATTTTGAGGTGTGGAACCACTTATTATAAGTTGTAGTTTATTTAGTCAATATTCTGAAACAAGACTTTAATCTTCAACATGCCCCATCACATGGGACCACCACATAGTGGGCCGCACAAATTGGTCTACATCGGAGTCAAACATTCAAGTCCAACATGTGAACACCATGTATTAGGTATGCAGTAAAGGTAAACATTCAAGCCCAACATGTAAACACCAAGTTTCCAATGTGGAACAACATTTGTGCGAGACAATAATTTGGAAGTTGGTGATGTATGTGTCTCCAGTTCAATTCCACCCTAACAATCAGTGACAACTGAGGTTTCAATTACAAGTGAAAGCTAGGGAAACCCGATCATCACTGTTGAGACTTCAATCCCAGCGACTGAATTTGGGACTGGAAGGACCAGCCATGGAGGACCGAACTCTACAGTAATATTTTCACCAATCATTGAAGAGAGGACCCCACCCATGGATACAAAAAATGAGAGATTTGCTCATGTGTCATCTACTTACTTGGAGAAGACTATCGCTAACTATATGCAGCGATTGGAAAGTGTTATCCTAGCTGTCCTGGAAAAGATGGTCGTGAGACAGGATATAACTTCCAACTATCTTCGAACTACAACGAAGTCGAGAAAGGAAAAGTCATGAGGAACCTTTTGGTGAAGGAATCAGCCAAAATGTTAACCATCAATTTCAAAACTCAAATTATGGCTGTTTTTTACCTCGTCAACAACCTCACTATGTTCAGTTCAACCAAATGCCTATTTTTGAGGAGCAACTACGTAAGGCCAAGCCACCACCTCAAGGGTTGCAGTTGGAGGATGTTCAACGTATGATCAAAGATTTCCAGATTTGTAGAGATATATATGGCCATATACTCATGAGATTCCCTGTGTAGCTTTGCCACCAAAGATTGAGACAACCAATAACCACTTTTCACAGTGTACTTCCCATTGAATGTGTAATGCCAGATATGCTTGTCTATTGAAGTTGTATATAAAAGGATTAAAAGAATAGCCCAACTTCCTCCTCACAAAAAACCTGATTAAAAAGCTCAAGATTCCAATAACCATCATACCCAAATAAAACACGTACTGCAACATTATGACCAAAAAAAGGAGGTGAAGAATGCCGAAAGGTAAAAGGCAAAGGAAGCCAATGATCCTGATATATTTTTACCCACAAAGCATGACCTATCCTCCAACTAAGGCCACCCAACAATAATTTGAGAATTCGAGTTATTCAACTATGGTGAGCTCAAAATGGGGCGGGGACTGGTGGGCCCAGAAAAGCACCTTGAAAGTGTCATGCTTTTAAGGATGCCGTGAGAATCGCATAGTGAAATCATGACGGGGTTAAAGAATAGTTGAGGATGAAGATATGATGGTTTGGGAATTGACAGGTAGGGTGTAATCTAGGGTTATTTAGAGTTTTGAAGATGGGTGGGTTTTTTTTTTGTGGTCAAGGTAATTCATTCCATAAATATGAAAGGGATTACATAGTCAGAAAAAGCAAACTAAAAACCAGCCCAACACAAATAGGTACAAGGCCTCAGCCCAACAGAAATAAAAAACCACATAAAAGCAAACCCTAAACAAACATCTAGCCCAAAACAAACACGAAGATGGGTGGGTTGAGAGACCAGAATAAGACCATAGCAACAAAGGAGCTTCACAACACAACAACATGTTGCTTATTGTTTCCTTTTGTTTTGTACATTTTGAAATTCTGGTTTGTATTAACTATTGAAGTATAATGTTAAACTTTAGAATATTCGATATGTATGTCTTAGTGATGTTAGATGAGCACAATCTATGTTTGATGTGTTGGAATTTAGAATTGATGAAATATTGATGTTTTGAGGTCTTTGAATTGATAGAATGCTGGAAGTTGAAAGCAGGTTATGTTTGATTGGCTTTTCATGGTTTAAAAGGAAGTAGCAGGTTTTGGCCAAACCAATCCAACCAATGATTTGGTTTTGGTTTGATTTCCCTTCTAAATTTAGTCAAAATTGAACTAACGATCCCTTAAGATGTAATCGATTCAGCTACGATTTGAGAGCAAAATCGGACCAATCCAAACCGTGCCGGTTCTTTAGCAAACAATTTAGGCACCACATTTCATATGTTTTCTTAAGCTTTTCCCACACCAACACAGGACAAGGGAAACAATTTTACCTTTAAATAAAAGGAAAATGTTGTTGTTGTTTTTTTTTTTTTTTAAATTTTTAAAAGAAGGAAAATGTTGTTAAATAATAAAGTTGCGGGTCCAAATGGAACGACTCCCACAATAAAGTATTAGGGAGCTAGCTCCGTTTCAGTTCCCCGGTGAATAGTAGTACACAGAAAAAAAAAAAAAACTGATAGATAATTGAGGGCCGACCCCGACGAAAGTAGGGGAAAGCAAAGCGGGATGCTTTGGGCTGCCCTCTCTGGAGTTAGGTCTGATTGATTACTGTACGACTTTCTTTTGTATTCCGAAACAAAGATCTCCATCTCCATCTCCACTTGTGCTCAGCAACATCACCTGCGCTTCAGCTCAGCTCAGCTCGTAAGGCTCCCTCTCCTTGTTAGCCCTGTTCATTTATTTATTTATTTTCCTTAATTCCGGCGGATTGTTGACTCTCGATTATTATTTTGTTATCATTTTATGTAATTGTAGTAGCAATGTAATTGTTATGGATTTCCTCAAGATTTCTAGTCCCAGTTGTAGAAATGACGATTTGCCCTCAATGAATTCGATAAATTTTTTTATTTTTAAAAATGAATAATTAAGGTCTAATTCGAACAATAAATATGCAGGCTGGTTGATCTAGTGGTTTTATGCTGCAATTACCGCGTAATCTAATCTATGTTTCTCAATTAGAAGGAATTGGGATTGAAACCTGGTCATCTTCAGCTGCTGCTGCTCATCTATCCCTACCTACCAAGAGTTTTTATCCTGCTTGCTTTCTTTGCATGTGTCTTTTTCTGGGTGGGGGTCTCCTTTTGCAATTCAATGCAATATCAACCGTAACACAAAGCAAAAGAGGAGAAAAGAAAGATAGAAAGAAATAATATGCAGAAGAGTGGGATTATTTCCAATTCCAAGAATAATTTGAGAGTGACGACGCCTCAGCAGTCTCTTCGGCGACTGGGATTGTGCTCCCAAATAGCTACTGCTACTGGGGGCCAGCACTCCCCGATTGTCTTCCCTGAGAAACAGAAACGGCACAAGATCAAGGCAGCTTCCAAGACTCCACCTACCCCTACCCCTGCTGATGATCCCAACATAGTTAAGGCCTTAGACCACAGGATTGACATTCCGGCTTCTGCTGCTGGAGATGAGAAGTCTGATTTGTTGGGTTATGCCGTCTTTTCCGGGAAATTAGTTTTGGACAAAAGAAAAACCAGCAGTATAAACACTACTTCTACTGATGCTCAACAACAACAAACCTCCTCTTCTTCTAATGATATTACCAACCAGGAAGCTGTTGATGCTAAGCTTACCAGCAGGGCTTTAATTTGGGGTTCTCACATGCTGCATCTTGACGATGTTATCTCAGTAAGCACAAACCTCCCCCTATAGCTAAATGTTACAACATCTACATGTCACAAGGTAGTCAGTCTTTCCCCTTTGGAATGAAGTAGCTAGGAAACAGTAATCTTGTTCTTTGCTTGCTTCCACAGGTTTCATACAATGTTGGTCTCAGACATTTCACCGTGCATTCTTATCCCTTGAAAAAAGGTTCCTGTGGCCTTTCTTGTTTTATGAAACCTCGAAGAAGCCGGAAGGACTTTCGATTCTTGGCTTCTAGCATAGAAGAGGCAGTTCAGTGGGTTGGCGGGTTTGCGGATCAGCAGTGCTATGTGAATTGCTTGCCTCATCCGTTGCTATCTTCTAAGAAGCAGGCTTCTTCAGAATTACTTCCAATTGATACTCCTCCTGAATTAATTTTCAAATGCAAGAGTCCCCCAAAAATGCTTGTCATATTAAATCCACGATCTGGACGTGGCCGTTCAAGTAAGGTTTTTCACGCTGTCGTTGAACCTATATTTAAGGTATGATGTATTTCCTGTTACCTAAATTCTCTGTGTTAGTTCTACTGCTTTTTGTCATTCAGGAGATGGATTAATTATATTTGATGGATATAACTCTTAAACTGAACTGCCTGTGTCACACATTGATGTGTCACCCATTAATTAGAATTATTCTAATATTAGGGCCATTGCATGTTTGGTTTTCTGTTTTTTTTTATATTGATTCTCGTTTTTATTATATCCCTGTTCCTAGTAAGATTACAATTACTTTCCTGTTTCTAGCAAGATTAGGTCCTTATAAATACATCCTTTGTAAATTAGTATAGACAGACATGTTTGATGAATGAAATTACTTCTTCCTAGGGTTGTCACGGTGGATGTACACTTTGATTCTGTAGCCTTTACATGTAGCATATATGTCAAACTTAGACTTAAGGATAAGCTCAAACGCGTATATTCTAGGTAAAAGAGAACATTACAACTATTATAAACTCAAAATCTAATTCAGTTCTTTATTATTCTTTTTTGTACACTTGACCTTAATGGTTGCATTGGCTTGCTATGTACTCTTTTAGAGCTTCTCTTCATATTCATATTCATATTGGAGCTGTAAACTGTTACAGCTTGCAGGTTTCAAACTGGAGGTAGTCAAAACAACATCTGCAGGTCATGCTAGGAAACTTGCCTCAAGTGTTGACATCAGCACTTGTCCTGATGGTACTACGCATAATGCACTGTCTGATTGCATTGCTTATTTTGGGTTTTCCTCATGCATTCTGATTTTCTTCATCATCATCATCTTTACAGCTTTTGTCCATTTATAATTTTTTGCTTTCAGGAATCATTTGTGTTGGGGGCGACGGAATTATTAATGAGGTAAATCCTTTGCCACTTGGGTGCTCCTTAGTCACCAAGTATTGTACAAATTCATGATTATTCTTTTGCATGTATTTCAAGTATACTTTGTGAACCTTAGATTTAATGGTCTGAGATTGGTCATTCACATTAGTTAATTACTAGAGTCTTTTTCTTTCTCTCCCTCCCTTTCCACAGATGCATGTGTCTTTGTGAGGTTCTCTATCCCTTTTGACAATCTTTGGTAATAGTAGGGGTGTTCTTGTAAAGGACTTGCCCTTAAATTTTTTTAGCAAATCGATATCCCTTTCTGACAATGCTCATGGTTTAGTGTTTGTAATGTGTTTATATATGCATGTAATTTCCAGGTATCTGGCAACATTAAGTCACAAAACTGATACCTTAACCGTTGAAATTATCCAATGGCTTAAAAAATGAAAGCTTGCATTGGGTATGGGAATCCCACATGTCCAACCACATTTTCCAAAAACTAACTAAATTTACTGTAATCTGTCATTATTTCAAGAAGAGTTAGGGTTTTAAACCTGCCTATTTTTGGAGGCTCAATTGCCAGATGTGGGAAATAAATTAAATGAGAAGAAGAGAGCAAGGGTAGCTTCAATCTTGTGGCTGAATGAAGAAGAGAGGATGAGAGCAACGAGGAAACACCCTTGGAAGAAGAGAGGGGAGGTTACAATAAGGGAAGCAGATGAAGGACAGGAAAATAGGAAGCGAATCATACAATTTGGAGTGAAAAGTTGGCTTAAGGGAGGGGGCATTGGTATTCAGGTCCTAGGGCAGAATTATCTGAAGATCTTGTCAAAGAGTAAAATAAGGAGTTGGGCAATTGAGAAGAGTTGGTTGATGTGGAAGTGGTGCATTGGGTAATGAAAATCTAGACCTGGTAATGGAAAAGGAGGATGATGAAAGGATTCTTTCGGTTTGGTGTGTTGACAGAGGTCTTAAGCAAAATTGACATTTGTCCAGGATTGTTTTTGAATGGGCAGATTGAAATTCAGTGTTTGTGGGATTGTAACGGACAAAGAAAATGCAGAGAACTCGGATATTGAGAAGCATGAAGAGAGTGCCACAGAACAGCAGGATGTTGGGAGATAATAGGATGTTGAGCCTTTCGTCTTTTCCTTTGCCTTAGGATGTTAACTGAGTTACTTTCTGTTCTGGAAAATGTCATCTAGGCAGTAGGAGAATTTGGGAGTAGGAAATCAGGACCCTTTTCATGCATGTCCTATTCAGGGCAACAAATGGATGATTCATCTTGTTCTCTTTTTTGTCCCTCATGCAATTTTGAAGGTCAAAGTACCACTGAAGGTACGGGTTCTGGCTTTGATTTTTGCTCATGTGAAGGTGCTGAATGTTTCAATGGTGCAGAGGGGGAAACCTTATTGTTATCATTCTTCTCAATGGTGTGTAATGTGGGAAAAAGATTTTGAATGTTTGAATCATTTAATGCTTCATTGTCCAGTTGTGTATTTTTTGTGGATAAAGCTGTTTTGGGGGACCATATTGTGTTGGGCAACCCCAGAATCTTGTAAGCCATTCTATGTGAGAGGCCTAAGTTTTTTGGAGGGAGGAAAACGGGCTTGGTGCTGTGTTAGCAATATTTTGGGTTGCTTGGATGGAGAGAAATAGGATAATTTTTAGGGCGCTAGGAGGAAGGATGCGAATCATTTGTCGGACACAGTTTGTTTCTGGGCATCCTTATGGGCTTCAGTTTCTCGGATTTTTAGGATTGGTCCTTTCATGCTGTTTCTTCTGATTGGAGCACTGTTGTATTTTAGCTAGTTCTTTTGCTTTGTTTTAATTGGCTTTCTTTCTGTTATGTTGTCCACTGTGTTGTAATTTCTGTTTCTTTTTGACGAATATCTTTGTTTCTAATAATGAAGAATAATAATCAATGCTATAATTTATATTTTCAGAGTGAGATGAATCTGAAATTTGAAAAGTAAAAAAGTTTGTCATTTTATTATTATTATTTGTTTGGTTACCTTCAATGCATTAACGCTTTATCTTCTTTCTTTATTGAACAATTTACATGGACTTGATTTGTGTACAGGTTCTAAATGGTTTACTTAGTAGAGACAACCAAAAAGAAGGAATTTCCATACCAATTGGAATTGTACCCGCTGGTTCTGATAATTCATTAGTTTGGACTGTTCTTGGAGTTAGAGATCCAGTTTCTGCGGCAATAGCCATTGTCAAGGTAATTTGTTTAGGGTTCATCATGTCTGTAAACAAAAACTACTCAAACCAGTTCATAGTGTACTCTTCGAACTGTTGTTCAACCATTCGAACGGTCATAAAAATATAATTAATTAATAATTTTATTAAAAAAGAAGCTAATCCAAAGTTTCATTTATCTTTTTTGCAATCATTTTCTCACGAGCTAGGTTTTTAGCCATATAAAAAAAATAAAAAATAAAAAAGCTTCTACCAACTAGTTCAGACTGATACACCTCACTTTGTTTTGTGTGTGTGGAGAAAGTTACCTAAATTTGCTGCAATCAGTTTCTTACCAACTAGTTGAGAGAGATTACAGCTCACTTCGTTACAGTCTCTAAAATATTTTGAAAACACTTAGTTCTAGAATACTAATCAAATAGACCCTTCATCCTTCTGTACCTTTGCCAATTAGGCATGACACTGATAAGGTATGGCTACTGGACACCCCAAATACATTGAAGGGCTTTGGAAGACAAACAAACTCAACACTTGGGCACACCCAAAGACGATTCCTTTTAACCTTTTATCAGCTGCATTGCGTAACATTTTAAGATCTCATTAATTTACTCATCCAGTTTTTGAGTTATGAAAGTACCTTTCAACTACAATCTTATCTGTAAGGTTCTTGTTACTTTTAAATAGTATTCATTGACGTAGAAATTATGCGCTTTTTTGTTGGTTTCAGGGGGGTCTTACTGCTACAGATGTTTTTGCTGTTGAGTGGATTCAGACTGGTGTCATTCACTTTGGGATGACAGTCTCATATTATGGTTTTGTGAGTGATGGTAATTCCTGATACATAGAATTAAGTTCTATCTAGATCTTGATTTGTAATGTGATGAACTAATATCCCATCTCCTCTACATTTAGCAGAAAACTAGGTGGATAAAGTCTAATAGTGCAATACTTTTATCTGACTTTGTGGTTCTCATGTTTAATTTATCTGTCTTTGGATTTAGCAAAACTGTACTTTACTTGGATCGAATGGTTTGATTTTTTTCCAAGTATTTAATGTTTGTCTTGTTTGTTGATGCTCTCTATAGATCCAACTGATAGTATTAAAAAACAGTCCAGTTGCATCTCTCTCCTGTCCCTCCCTCCCTCCCTCCCTTCATGACAGTGAATTATAGGATATTAAAGTATTAGGAATTGTGAAGATTTATTGGAGGCATGTGATGTTCGTATTTCGTAATTTTCTATATTTGTTAAGTAACTTTCAATTACAAATTAAGCCTTTTTTTTTGGGCATGAATCCCAAACCTTCCAATGCTCCAATGACCTAGCTTTTGGTTATTGTTTTAATTGTGTGCATTCCTATAAAAAGATGTTTCAATATGATATCTGTAACCATTCCATAAATGTTGCATTAGTACTCTTTTTTTAAATTTCCTTCAACTGAAGCCCACTGTATAGATATACATATACTGTATACATAAGAAAATGTTCCTGTGAATCTGGACCTCTGTGTGTGTGCTTGTGTAAGGCTTGACAGTTTATCCAAAGCCTGGTTATTCATTAACGTTGTGTCTTGTGGCTTGTGGATTATATTAATAGCATTTTGATCCCTTGGTCCGTTAATAGATGATGAGCTGGAACTTAGAGAACAGTAGTTCTTAATTTTGGTCCACTTGTATTGATCAAGATAAGTGTGTATGGTGAAATCAGCTTTGTTAGAATGTTAATTCGTCATGAACTGGTTGCAGTGTTGGAGCTCTCTGAGAAATATCAAAAGCGCTTTGGTCCTCTGCGTTATTTTGTTGCTGGCTTTCTCAAATTCTTATGCCTACCAAAGTACAGCTATGAAGTTGAGTATCTTCCAGCATTAAACGAGGATCTGGAAGGAAAACTCTCAGCTGAAAGGGAAGTAGTTGACATGTCGGAACTATACACAGACATTATGAGGAGATCAAACACAGATGGGATTCCAAGAGCCTCGAGTTTATCTAGTATCGATTCCATTATGACTCCTACTCGAATGTCTGGAGACTTGGATGCAACCTGCAGTAGCAATCATGCTACCATTGAACCATCTGAGTACGTGCGTGGCCTAGATCCTAAATCAAAACGACTTTCAATGGGAAGGAACAATATAACTGCAGAGCCAGAAGTTATTCATCCACAGCCACCTCTGTCATCAACTCCAAATTGGCCAAGGACCCGCTCTAAGTCGAGGACAGATAAAGGATGGACTGGATTGACAGCCACACATGATGCCTCCAGATCTTCTTGGGGCAATGCTGGAACAAATGATAGAGAGGATATATCATCCACTCTGTCCGATCCGGGTCCAATTTGGGATGCTGAACCCAAGTGGGACACCGAACCTAATTGGGATGTGGAAAATCCTATTGAATTGCCGGGGCCATCAGATGATGTGGAAGCAGGAAGAAAGGAAGTTGTTCCTAGGTATGAAGATAAATGGGTTGTTACAAAGGGTCAGTTTCTTGGTATTCTGGTTTGCAATCATGCTTGCAGAACTGTTCAGAGTTCCCAAGTAGTGGCACCAAAAGCTGAGCATGATGACAACACCTTGGATATGCTCCTAGTTCATGGAAGTGGGCGGTTAAGGCTATTGAGATTTTTCATGTTGCTGCAGATGGGTAGACACCTTTCACTGCCATATGTGGAAAATGTCAAGGTATTGGCATTTACTTCAATAATGTCTTTGAACGTAGGGTTTTGACTAATGCATTTATTGAGACCATGAAGCTCCGAAGAGTGCATTTCACATTCCAGTTATGGGGTTGGATGTGTTTTTATTCGCATATTTATTTTTCATCATGTTCTGCCATTGGTGAAAAGAATCAGATTGCGTTTAATTTTCCCTTGTGGTGGTTGGGTTCAGGGGATGGGGGAGCATAAGAGTTTCAATTGCTGTTTCATATGCAGGTGCTTAATTGGGAAAAAAAAAAAAAAAAGGATTAAGTTGTATAGGGGCCTCTCCTAATTTGGTGTCTTTCGTTGCAGGTGAAGTCAGTGAAGATTAAGGCATCAGGAAAGCACGGCCATAATGGTTGTGGTATTGATGGAGAGCTTTTTCCACTTAATGGACAAGTGATTTCTTCTTTGCTTCCAGAACAGTGCAGACTTATCGGTCGCTCCCTTAGCCATCAAGTCTAAGTCTGACTATCATACCATACCATGTATCTTCTTTTGCACCTCCCTCTATTGGATTGGATGCTAGCTAGGGCATCTTTCCTATTCACGTACCGAATATGCAAGATTATCTATCCATATACCAACTAGAAAACCTTCTTCTGCACTATTTTCTTCTGTTTGACCCTTAGCCCTTGTACCCACCCCACCTTATTATAACAGATGAAGCGCCTGTAAATTTTTTTGTTTGGCAATGTTTGTTTATCTGTTGTTGTTTATTGGTTTTTCTTTCTTATTTCATTTTCGGATGGATCATGATCATGTAACCTTGCCCCTTGTTTGCTATCTGGTGCGAGCTGCTTGTGTATTTACGATTCGGGTACTCCATTTTTCTGTGACCAGTCAATATTTGTTTTCTTTTGTAACATTTGATCAGCCAACATTTCTTGAGATATATGTTCGTCCTTCTGATCTTGACTTTGTTGGATAAGTTTGATTACAGGTATTTTAACTTTAAAAACTAAACCCAAACCCACTGCTTAGCTTAGCTACGCCGGTTACAAAGACATTTTCACACTGACACAATGGGCTCGATGAATTGGAAGAGAGAAGTGAGATTACGAGAATTTATTTTTCCCAATTTGGTCATTGTGTTCGGTTTTGTTTGTAATATGAGGAAAATTTTAAAAACTTCTCTAATGGGCTTCAAATCATAATCAAAATCTTGTTTAAGCTCATGAATGCTACTCAAAGGATAAAATCAACCAGGCTAATGCTTGCAACAATGACAATTAACCAACCAAGATGAACTCCCTTTATTGAATGTCTATGCCTACTCTAATCTTGTGCGTGAGTTGAGTTCTAATCTTCCCTTATCTTTGTAATGAATTTTCTTGCCTTAGACTCATGCCTAACTTTCACATGTGGGTATTGTTGTTTGAGAAGCTCATGCCTTGGACTTGAAGTTTTGTTTTTACAAGGTTGGTTGTTTCTGCTTGCTTTAGTTAACATAACACAACGTCAAGGACTCAAACAACATCTTCAAATTTCCAATGAAATGATTGTTGGGATTATAAGTTTGCAAGGCTGACTCTTTGTGATCATTTTCAATTAGTTATTATAATTTATACCCGAAAACAATTGGAACTGGACAAGGTCTAAACTGAATGGGCAGCATCCTAGAGTGGATTTGGCTTATTAATATTTGAACTCCTATCATTCCCCCTTAGTTTGACATGTGTTTTCCGGTAGTTTTTTCGCTTACATATAGACAAGTATGGATTTTCACTTCGATGGATGGATGTGCGGTTAATCTATCTTCTACTTTCACTTAAATGTATGTACGGCGGCTAATCTATCTTCTTTCAACCTCGACAAAATTTCAAAGTTAGCCTCCGTTTCTTACTTCAACATACCTTAAATCTAGTTAGTTATCTAATGCTAGGCGCCATATATGAACTAACAAAACAATAAGCAAAGCAGCCCATGACATAGCTAGGACTATAAAAAAAACACTACTCAGGAATAGAAGAATGGAAGCAATCAGCAGATAGATCTAAGCGAAATTGAAATCTATCAATTAAATAACTGCAAAATAGACCGACTCATAGTCATAGACCACAGTAAAGTCTAGAGTCGTCATAGTCATAGTCACACAGTGAGAGAAGCTCCATTGTCGGCTGGTGTGAGATTCAAGATCATGGTAGCAGCCTTGACGGCCCATGCATCAGGTTTCGGGTAATTTTTCATGCTGGAGTCTCCAAAACATGACTCAAGCATGTCGGTGTGTATGACACCGGGGTTGAGTGCAAGAATTGCCATTTCACTAGGCAACTCCCTAGCAACCGATCGGGTCAAGCCCTCCACAGCCCATTTGGATGCACAGTAAGGGGCCACGTGTGCCGCACCCGATCGGCCCCATCCTGAAGACATGTTGACTATGATTCCCGCTGGGTTCTTCCCCTCATTCCGCGACAGCATCAGCGGAATGAAGTGGCGCAACACGTTAGCGATTCCCTTGACATTGGTGTCAATGACGCTGTCGAACTCTTCCACCGGCACCTCCCAAAGCTTCTTGTTGTCGTTGATGATGCCCGCATTGTTCACTATTATATCTGGAATGCCCCTCTTTTCCTTCACAACTCGTGCCAGCTCAGCAATGCTGGTATTCGACCTCTGCCAATAAATAAATATAATAACACACACACACAAAAAAAAACAAATCAAACCAAATTACTCGAATCTAAAACAAAAAAGGAGTCAAAATAATCTTCCAAGTTTGTTAGAAAAACTATGAAATGATTGAGTAGACGAGGATGAAACATTTTTGAGCAACGATAGTTATGACACCTTCAGATCATAGATTCAGGTCCAACAAGGAGTCACACTTGACACCAGTTTTATATCATTTCTTGCAAGTTTGCAACTAGTCAATTCTTTTATATGATTTCAGACATGTACAAAATCTCAGTTCTACATTTCATACTAAGACATTAATCCCTAAATCAATGCACTAATTCCCCCAAAGTACAAGCATATAATTGCCTTCACACATCTTCAAAGACAATACAACACCTTGCCTGATAGTATTTATCACTTAAAAATAACCTATCCACAGATTCCATTGAGTCTTCATGTTAATACTTTACAGGGTAGCGTCTACTAACATGCGATGGCATGGAACTTTAAAAGAGTCCATAGTAAGAAAACAATCACAAAAAGCAAGAGGGAAAAGAACGGAAGTATTAATTGATCAAATATAGAGAAACATGTGTTGTACAAGTATTTTTTGGTAAAGCATTTAGACCGTCAACTAACTCAAAGATTATACTAACCAAGAAAGGCATTAGGTACAGGTTATAAACAGAGCATCAAGGAATAAGTTCTTCACGCAATTCACATACATGTGGACTAATCTTTAACAGCTTAAGTTTCAAGATACATACAAGAGGGTCCCGATTTATTCGATCAAAAGAAGTTTTTAAGCGGCCCCTACTTATTCATTTATTTGCTTCTTTTCTTGTAGAGGGCATCTTTTCTCTTATTTATCAAGTGCAACTTTTTAGCATTATATCATAATGTTCATGCACATTTTCTTGCTTCCAAGAAGCACCCCATTATGTACTACTTAGATCATTGTTGTTACCATGAAACAATCTAACAGGAAAGACATTTTCTAGTAGAAGAATTTGAGTAAGACTTTTCAGTTTCTTTCTCATTTTTCTAAATAAATTAAATATAAAAATGGAACATCTGAAATCATCATGTTTTAAAGGGCCAACCTTTTTGCGCTCTTAACCAATACTTTTCCTTTTACTTTGCTTCATGTCTATCAAGAATTCATCAAAACTGTATCACAAATAAAGAAACGCATTTTCTAGATTAACAATTCAGCAGCACATTTTGCACACCAGAACAAACAAACTAAGCCTAAGACAGAAATGAAAAAATAGGAAAAATAATGACTAATAAATTGCTCAAAATTCAAATTCCAAGTTAATTAATCAAATTATTACTTACGACGTCGGTGTTGAGGAAGAGGTGTTTGTCGGAGGAGAGCTCGGATTGGAGGGCGTTGAGCTTATCCTGGGCACGGGAGCAGCCGATTACGGTGTGGCCCCTCTTGGCCATCTCTACCGCCAGCGCTCGCCCCAGCCCTTTGCTCACTCCCGTTATCACTACAATCCGAGACGCCGCGACGCCGCCTCCTCCTCCCTTGCTCAACACGTTCATCTCTCTCAGTCTCAGCCTCTCTCTCGGATTCTGATTCTTAATTATGTCTCGTCTGGAACCTAATGCCCCTCTCTCTCTCTCTCTTTCCCTCTCTTAGGCTGCTCTTCTCCAAGTATGAAGTGGGCTGTACGGTTGGAGATGAAGCTGCTTTTATTATAGTAATCAAAATATAAAAAGGGAGATTCACTATTATACCTAATATAATGGCCCAAAATTAAAAATAAAACCCTATATGAAAGAGGAAAAATTTCAATTCTTTTGTTTATAATTTGTCCCATTTTTCACTTTTATTCATGTGATTTCAATTGTAGCAGTATGCGTCGTTCACAAGAGGTATTTTGGACGAAATTAAAAGAAATATATCATAATTTATAATTTATCATTGAATTGAGATGGATTCAAAACTACATGAACAAAATTGACAGAATTGAAAAAATAAATACCAAAGTGGTTAAACAAGTAAATTATAGAGGCCACAAATGACGTTTTGCCATAAAAATAAGGTCAAAAGTCACTTTTGATCCTAGTTTCAATTCCGGCAATTTTGCCATTGTAGTTTCGTATTTGTACTAATTCAAAGACAAGTTAGTTCTAATAAAAAATAAAATAAAAATAGAGAGATTAGGAGGTTGACCACATGTTTTTCATGAAAAAAAAGAAAAAGATAAAAAGAAAGTTGTTCAGGTTAAGGAGGACGGGTCATATCACGTGCTGGAGATAATTAGCATGAATTGAAACTGCTAGTTTAATCAGGTTGGAGGAAGCGATTGCTGCAGCAGAAGAATCACCACTTTTTTAGTGTGAGAAAGAGTCAGAGACAGAAGCAACACCTACTCCGCTTACACGACCTAAGAATGCGCCCAGGAATGAAGTTACACACCTTACTGATTACTCTCCACCAGTGGATACTAGCCATGGGAAAAAATCCAGATACCTATAATTCATGTATTTATTTGATTGTGATTGCTTAGCCGTTATAATTGCATATACATTTATAACTATTGTGAAATTCTTTCTTTTTTCAAAACACATTTTCTATATTTCATCAAGTTTAAACGGATCAAGTTCAAGGAATATTCAGACCAATATAAAAAATAATTAAAAAAAGTTAAAAGAATTATTAATGGTTATAAAACTAACAAAATGTTGCTGCCCAGGATCGAACTGGGGACCTTTAGTGTGTAAGACTAACGTGATAACCACTACACCACAGCAACAATAGATGAATAACGATGCTAATACATTGTATATCTAATATTTGAAAGTAGATTGACTCAACAAGATAAATATTTGTGTTTTTTTTTAATCCCTGGGGTATATCCATTAAATATTATTCGTAAGTTCTGTAGAGTTCCAAATCTGACCAAAAATAGTAAAAAATAAATAATTAAAATACACCCTGAACTATGTCAGATCTCCAAGAGTCTTGGAAGGTGTCCTTCAAGGTTGATAATGATAAATAAGATTTTGTTTCGCCAAGAGCCAATTTAATTAGAAAAGCATTCATGTGATATTTTGAACGTAGTGTTAAGTTTTAAGTTAACATCGATGTTGGGCATGAAAAAATTGAGAAATAACCAAAATTGTTCTTATTAAACCTAAAAAAAAAATTAAAAAAATTGGGCCATTGAAAGTTTCGTAACGGACTAAAATGGACCGAAATTCAATATACCAACCCAAATCCATACGTACCCCAAGTATCAATAATTCTATAATGAGGGTCTTTAAGTGAGGTCCTAATTCTTAACCGTTAGATCAAATTAGTTAATCGTTGATCAAATTAGTTAGCATTATTTGACAATTAAGAAATAAAACTTCACCTAAATGTCATATATAAGGCCCTCGAGTCTCCCCAAAATATTGATTTACACTAAAGATTTTGGGCTATCGAAAGTTCAGTGCGGTTAACGAGTTGGGTTATTTCCCGAACCGAACAATCCTTGGCCAAACCTACACACGAGTTTATGATTGCAAAAGTAAAGTGCATTATGTGAGCTACTCGTACAAAAAAGTAGTTCAAAAGAGTAAACGGTGTCGTTCGTCTTTCATGTCGGAATTAAACGGCGCGATTTCCTTGCTATCATAACTTTCTGGAGCATTTTATTTTCCCGGAAAATTCACGTCTGAAACGAAGCGCTCGATAATGGACCTGGCAGACCCAGTAGCCAAAGAAGGAGGAGAAGCAGATGCTGAGCCTAAAACGGAACGTTTAGCGGAAGAGAAAGGGACGAATAGGAAGGAGAAGAGGAAGGCAATGAAGAAGATTAAAAGGAAGCAGACGAGGAAGGAGATGGCGCTGAAAGAGCGAGAGGAAGAAGAGGCGATACTCAATGACCCTCAAGAGCTTATGAAAATTAAGCTGATGGAGCAAGAGGAGGCCGAGAGGTCAGAGAGAGAGAGGAAGCTGTTTGAGGAGCGAGAGAGAGCGTGGATCGAAGCCATGGAGATTAAGAGGAAGAAACAAATTGAAGAAGAAGAAGAAGAAGAAGAGGAACGGAGAATGAAGGCTCTAGAAGAAGAAGAATTGTCTCGGAAACAACAGGTTGTTTTGTTTATCCCTCTTTGTTTTTTGGACTGCAATTTTTTATCTCTCTCTGTCTTATGTGGTATCACCAGCATACGTTTATATTTGGATTTGGGGTCTGTTTGGTTGCTGAGAAAGTTGGAAAGGATGGCATGTGGAGGGGCGGACCCACAAAGGTACAAATGGGTTCGCCTGACATGGCCGTGTACATGCTGCTTGACTTGCATTTTAGCCTATGAAGGCTATATTGGTTGCTAAGTTGAATTGACAACCCAGCCAAGTAATCAAATTTTGATCACTTTTGTCAATTTGATTGGCTGCATGGTATATCAACAAGAAATAAATTGTAGTGGCTCCCTTGATCATCATGATTTTCCATGTCAGTAAACTTGTGTGTTAAACCCAAACTAGGTTCAAAATTATAAGTTAATAGATACAAAAATAGGAACATATTCATGAGCCAATTAAAGTCCTAGAACACATGAATATGTGTACTGGAAGGGGGTTTGTGTTTTACCATAAATTATGAATGAAAGTGTTACCATTTTAATTTTTGGAGTTATTTTCGCCAGAAAAAAATATAGGAACTTTTACACATTGACCCTACGGAGTAAAAATCCTGGATCCGCCACATGATGTGGTTATTAGAGTTCACCTATATACTTCTTCCGATTTTGACTCTTCTTATGTATTTTCAGTTTATTTAGTTTATGGTCTGTATGGTTCCTCAGAATGTGCCTGAAATATGACAGTTAGGGGAAAATATTGCTCAGGAAGAGTAGGATTTCTGAATATAATTATATTCATGAATTTGGTTATGGGATATGCTTGATTAGCGAGTAAGTGTTGTAAAGTGAGAGTTCACATGGACATTTGTTATGGATTCTAAATAATGCTATGCCGACTGGTGTGGATTGTGCATTCTATTCTTTTACATGTACAGTTTTTTTTTGGGGGGTTAATTTATTAATGCAAATTGCATCGTTGATAAATCCGTTTTGTGGAGCGGTGGTCCTTGTACATGGGATGCAAGATGTTTCTGTTGTCAGTTGAAATAATAGGTGCATGCCTGTGGTAGTAGGCATGCTCTTTCATTTGGAGACGAAAATATTTTGTTGCTGGAATGAATGTTGCTAATGTTTGGTCAGAACTTCTTTTATAATTCATGAGGAAGATATAAGCATTATCTGCTAGAAGAAGCAAGAAATATTGTTTAAAATGCTATCTAGAGGGGAGATCAACTTCTTTTTAGCATTATGGTTCATAATTTATTTTGGTTTGGCAATAGTTCGAGAGGAAATATCTTTATTGTCTTAGAAATGTTTTTTCATTATTACTTGCAATATGTATGGCAGGTTGAAAATGAAAATGACGGTAATGAGGTTGATGATTGGGACTATATAGAAGAAGGGCCTGCTGAAATCATCTGGCAAGGAAATGAGATAATTGTCAAGAAGAAAAGGATCAAGGTTCCAAAGAGGAACACAGACCAGCAAAGTAGAAAGGGGGTGCGTAACATGAATCTGGAACTTTGGTTAGATATATATTTTCTTATAGGTCATCTTACAGTGTGCTTGCTTTTTCGGTTTTACCAAAAAGTTTAAATTGTAGAATTTGTCATTTGTTTGACAGGATTGTGATAGGCCCACGTCAAATCCTCTCCCTCCGCAATCCGAAGCATTTTCTGATTATAAAAATTCATCAATGTCAGCACAGCAGCTGATTGAGAATGTTGCTCAACAAGTACCCCATTTTGGAACTGAACAGGTATGCCCCCCTCTCTCTCTCTCTCTCTCTCTCTCTCTCTCTCTCTCTCTCTCTCTCATTATTATCCATTTCTGTGTTGATAACTCTTCATATCTATGCCAATAGTTTACTTCATGATTTGACCTAGTTATTTTGTTCATTGGTGAAGATCATAGTCAATAATCCCTAAGTTATGTTCATCGGTGACAGGATAAAGCTCATTGTCCTTTTCATTTGAAAACTGGGGCTTGTCGGTTTGGTCAGCGTTGTAGCAGAGTCCATTTCTACCCTGATAAATCATCCACACTGCTTATCAAGAACATGTACAATGGTCCAGGACTTGCTTGGGAACAGGATGAGGTGCTGGAGGTCTGTTAATGCTGCCATGCCTTCATGTGATTCTTGTATCCTAATTCTAACTTTGGGTTTTCGTATCTTTCACTGAATCTGTGAAACCTTTGTTTATGCCGTATCATTGCATATGAAAGAAAGCAGTTCATAGAGTTCCCTTAAAAGCAAAAGTTTGCTCAGTAAAAAATATAATTATTTTCTAGTCCAACCCTGTTGAGTAGGCATATCTGACATTGAGCTGTTATCTAATCCTACTCTCTTCACAGGCTATTCTATCTTATTTGTTTCTTCTTTGAGCTGTTATCGGTTTGAAGGTTTTTCATTTGATTGCATACCATGTGTCTTAGTTCAGGAATGTGGTTTAGTTAATTTGTTCTTCTTTTCATTTATGAAATGGTACTCTTCTTCTTTGACATGATTTATCAGAGATTCATTTGCGATATTCACTTTGGTGGGGATTCACGGTTTCGGCCTTGGTTGTATTGGAATTAAAGATACCCCAATAGTGTATCCTTCGTGCTGGCAATGGAATTTTGTTCCCATATAACATGTTCATTGTTTACTTAATCTTATTATCATTTATGTCATAAGTTTTTCTTCCCTATTTGTTTATCTTTTACACTTATATTTAATGTACCATCTTTTACACTTACTTTTGGTGTTCTACTTTGCAAGGAATTTTAAATTTTTATCAATTAAAAGAAAGAGGAGTTGCACGATGTATTTTTGAAGAGATGTTTTAGTTGTCACTTGTCCTCAGGATGTTTCTGTTATTTTATGCCATTAAGAGATATTCTGGTTCAGTCTTCATAGTTGTGGTTTGTTTCTGTTTGAAGTTTTCATTGTTTCATAAGTGCATGAGTTTACTGTAGTAGTAGTACAAGTTTTGTTCCTTAACAACTTATAGTTTTTTGGGCAATATATCTGGTCCTGGGAGTTATTGATGCTGTGTGACATCACTTCTTACATCCCACAGTTTGAGATTGTTGGTGGCAAATTTTAGAAGTATGTGAATGCAATTAGCTCTTCCTTTACTCTGAAAATGTCAAAGGAAAAGGAAATGGAAATATGAAAAGAACTGTCTTAAAAGATATGCAGAATCTATTATGAAGACTGGATCGCTTTTCTTTCCCATAACCAGAATGTGAAGTTTGTAAATAATTCAGTGAGATGTTATTTCATGTGCTGGTTCATTATGAAGCATTAATTGAACTGGAATCAGTACCTTGGATATAAATTTCTAAATTTATAGTGTGGTGCAACTGGAAATCATATATGATAAGCTTGTTTGGTGCAACTGGATATAAATTTCTAAATTTATAGTTTGTGCAACTATGATTATATTCATACAGATTCTCTATTTATAACTCTGTTCTAAGACTCTAATATATCAGGTACATCATTGAATGTCACTGTGTTGTTTAATTTCATGTAACTTTTGGGTATTCGGCTCCCGTGTTCTTGGTCTTTGTAGTGGATAAATCAAGTGTAATATGCATAAACTTTCCAGTTACTCAGCTTAACTACCAATATGACAAGAGGAGATGATTTATACAATCTCTTCTTTCAGTTTCTCGCATTGTTGCATCACAATGCCCTACATTGGTGTTTAATTTGTTTAGTCTATTCTGAGCACATGAAAGTAGTTACTGTAGGTTCTTCTAAATTTTATACTTGGTTTCCATGCTCTGGATTTAACTGAGCCTCCTAAATTAATCCTCGTGTTGGTGTGGCTTAAAAATCTGAATTTTGTTGATTGGTCTAGAATTGTCTGAAAGTTATAGCTTTTTTCATCATTTTCAAAAGCACTCTGGGGCTCATTTTAAGCCTGGAGCTGACAATTCTCAGTTTAGTGCGTTAGATGAAGACTTTCAATGTGGTGAAACTTGTGTTAAGAAGTGCATGCTTTCATTAAAGTCCAAGGTGGGAGGAACTGTGGTTGTTATCAGTTTGGTATTAATTGGTATATGCATATTGGTTTTGGTTAATGTCGTGGTAACCATTATTAGCTCTAGATTATTTTGCATGTTGTTTTTCTTAGTTGACATATGTTTGAAGGTCTTTTGGTGGAGGATGCATGGCTCACCTGTAGTGTATCTTGACAAAATTTAATATTGGGACTGGCCATTTGTCTCTTTTAATTTTAGTATAAGTTGATGAGTATAATTTTTCTGGTTTAATATTTTTCCCTCTTTTCAGCATACTGATGAGGAGGTAGAGCGCTGTTATGAAGAATTTTATGAGGATGTGCATACAGAGTTCTTGAAGTTTGGTGAAATTATAAATTTCAAGGTTTCTGACAGCTCCCTTGTGATTACCAGACTACTTATTGTTTTTTTGTTTATTGTTGTTTCTAAGAAGCATAATTTACAGGGGACAAGTTGTGTCCACTGGTCTATCTACATTTGATTGGTAACATGTCAACCTAAAACTGTCCCTACCCTTTTCCAACTTGTATGCATAGTGATTGTTCTATATGTAATTACCCTGTGGAGCCCTTTTAAAAATGAACTCTCTCTCTCTCTCTCTCTCTCTCTCTCTCTCCCCCCCCCCCC